CAACAACCCATGCGCCCAACGACGTATGTTCCTCCGATTCATTGTCAGTTTCCCCGCCTCATCAAACTCAGTCGACCAGCGCCACGTCACCCGTCCTTCGACGCCTCAGCTCGCAAATATGGAGCCTCAGGTGCGTTATGTCATGGATACCATTCGTCATCTCAAGCTGTAGAAATCCCAACTCTGATAATCACAAGCGTTGGTGATGCCAAGAAGCCCGGGCAAACTGACGCGTGTTTAGAGAAGATGCTAGAAAGGGAAGAATGGGTAGATGATGGGTCGCAGCGTCCTGAGCGATGACGACGCGGACGAGCTACATGATGTGTTTCTCCTATGTGTGTTTCCCCTATTTCCCACCGTCACCTGAACCGGGTAATAAACGATCACCTAGGCAGTCCTCATGTCTGCCTGCTACAAACGTTAGTTAAGATATCGGACCCGGGCTCTCCCTGATTGCCACCGACTCCCTCCGAGAAAGTAGCCGTTCCTGTCGTATCTTTGACCTCGCGCAGCGAAAGTCAGTCTCCCATCCAGCCCAACGACATACACACCACAGAATTGCCATACGTGTCTACGAATGCTTTACCCTCCGCCTCCGAGAAGGACAAACCACCGACGTATATGGACAGCCAAGGGGAATCTCGGTTCCATCATTTCTGCGTTCGAGATAATCGCCGCGTCGTGCGGTCGGTCCGGGCGGAAAGAAACCAAATCATCGATCATCGATCATCCTCGCAATCGTCTCCTCACTGGACTGTATCACCAAACTTATCTCGCTCTTGGTTTTTTTATTTGGCACTACCTTTTCATCGATCACCATCAAGCGTCCTCCCTCGCTCGTTGATCTCGTCGTATACTAAGGAAAGGCCCATGACGTTGCCAAGTCCTTGGATCGGCAAGTACGTTATAGTCCCGAAATTATGTCAGTGTGGCTTGAAAAAAAATCGATTGATCGCCTGCTAACTTACTGCAGTCTTACTGCATCCCCGCGGAGTGGTATTATTATATATTTTAGACGTTATTACAGTAAAAATAATACAGTTACTACTACACTTTGCTACACGTAACTTCACAGACCTTTGATGGCCATCATACAAAGTGATGTTAAGAGAATACTGAGACTGATGCCTCAGGAGCCAAGTAATGTGTGTTGAGAAGGGTGATGACTGGTATGTACAGTACTAGATGACGCGAAGCGTAAATGAGATAGAAAAGTAGAGAGCAATGATCGATCATTCCAAACTCTTTCTTTCCCAGAGAGAAACGACAACGGGATAATTACTGAGCTGTCGTGCAGCGACAAACTGCCCAACGATTTCCTGGACAGGTCCAGATGGGATTGGCTCCTCCAAGTAAAGAGTCTGCAAGGCTGGTAACACTTCTGTCACTCTTTCCCCGACGAGGTCCTGCAGGGCGGGCACGATGCGCGGTGTGAATTCCGAAGATATGTAGAGATCCTTCACAGCCGTGAATGGACGTAAAAGTTCCATCCACTGGCTGCTCTCGATATCGTCTTGCCAACGCGGTCGCGAAGATGTACCGTCAAGGATGTAGAGGTGTTCCACCGCGGGAATGAATGCATGAGGGAAGGACGAGCCGCAGACCTGTGCCAGAGACGAAAGCTGCCAATCCGACTGATTGCATGAGATTCCCAACTCGAGCACTTTGTTAAATGTTTGAACAAGTGTGACCCAAACGTTACCATCGTAAAAGAACACACGAGCTTCATCGAGTGCCTTGAATTTTGGCGTGCGTCTGATGAATCGGGTCACTTGGGGAGTGTCGAATATCAGTTGATGGAAGAAGTTTATTGCCAACTCGTTAAGTAGAGGCGCATCGATCCGGGCCACGAGGTCCTCTAGATATTCGCTGACCCCAAAGAGCCGCAACTCTGTGAGAACAGGGAGAAGAGTGCGTGTCAGCGGAGGCGGACGTCGGATATTCCAGTCGGGGCGACATCGAGGGGATCCAAAACCAATGCGGAGACATTTGAGCTTGGTCAACACGGAAAGACACTTGGCCATCGCCTCGGGTGTGATATACCCGGAATAAGGAATTTTCCATAGGTCGAGTCGAACAAGTTGAGTGACAGATGAAAGCAGTTTTGGTAATCCCCGAAACGGAACGCAATCCAGGATGAGTGTTCGGAGATGCGGTGCAGATCCACCCAAGAACAAAGCGGGATCGACTGGCGCTGTTTCGTCTCTGGGCCGAAGCTGCAGACGTGTCAGTGCTGGGAATGGCTCTTCCAAGACCTTTTCGAATTGCGAACTTTGAATATTGATGAGATCCAATCGACATATGCGACCGTTGTGCTCGAGTACCGCAATGATGTTATCCATGTCCCACATTTCGTTGCCATAACCCCATACGACAATAGGCAACAGTGGCCAGACGTCCAGCGTTTCCCTCACTGGTGTTCTGGCGGTGCAGTGAAGTCGCAGATTCAGTCGACGTGGTGACCCAAAGACAACATTTCGCCATTTTCGGCACACGTGTACCAACGAGTGCCACGCCTGTATTTGTTCTTCATACACGTAGAAATCAAATATTTTTAGGAGGGCAACGTCGGGGAGAATGTCAATCGTCATCCGGGCTATATCGCACCAGTCAATCGGTGCAAGCTATGTGCAGAAGATGTAGATGTACGTACATCGGCCTCCTTTGGTAGATTCCCTACAAGTCCCATGGTGTGCTTGCTTTTCTGTCGGTGGACTTTCAAGGTGGCCATCTATCATAATCGACGACCGAAGGTGGTAAGGTGATGACTGGGCGATGGCCGGATGTGCTGGGGAGAGAGAATTTTTAAGACGCTCTTGATCAAAGCTATTTGAGGCTCTCTAGGTTACTTCAGTAATCCAGGCGAGAATTCCTCCTGACCTACCACATTGAACTCATCGATGAAGATTCAGCGTCGGGGGAGAAGTGATTACTTTGAATTTACCCACCGCCTCGGTTTTATACAGAACACAGACCCTATTACACAGCCCTCCACATGACATCACCCACCCTCTAGCTAAAAAAACTCTCCACTCGTGTCCTATGAGGCTATGTCATAACACTCATATTAAATGAAGCCGCAGACGTGAAGATGTGCACTTGGCAAGCGACGGTTACAGGAGGAAGTAGCACAGCGGGGCTTACTTACCTGTCCCGTCAACTACCAAGTTGAACACTCATTTGAGAGAGGTGAATGCATGAGACGACGCAATATGTGAGATCCGCTGATGTGGAAAGTGAGATAAGCGCCCCGGTCAGCAGGCTCTGTAGGTGTATGAGTGTATCGCAAAATACCCTCATATTCAGAATAAACGTAGGAATAGTCAGACGCAAGAAAGAAAGTAAGGTAGCGTGGGACGTCACGGCAGAAAGGGTCGAAAGGGTGCATTTATTGTGTATCGAGTATCGCTGGTATCGGTGCTGGTGTCAGAAGAGTTCTCGTATGCGCCGACTTCTGTAGCACATTTCTTCATCGATGCTTCGTCGATTCATCTGTCGGCACGCCGTGTCCCGTTACTAGTATATCTAACCCGAATAGGACCTCAGGTGATATGGCTGTATTACCGCTGTAACCAACCGGGTATATTGCATTGCCATATACCTAACCCAAATAGGACTAGGTATAGTTGGTAAAGGATGTACAGATCTGATAATGATGACGCTTACCCTTAGTTGATATTGCGGCGGCGACCAACTGCAGGAAAGAACTGTGAACGTGAGACCAAGCGTGAGACGCCACTCGCTCACGTATAACGTCTATCTACGGGTCTCGTGACCTTCGTACACAGTTCAGTCGTACCTTCGCAAGCATTTCACGCGCGAACCACGCCAAGTGCGATCATAGACATGAATTGGTCGATCTCAGATACAAGGGTGCAGATGCCAATGACCATCTATCAAAGTACCGCAAAAGGCAGCAAGTACTGCACTATATTCGAACGAGTAGTAGAACAGCTGCTCCGACTCGGAGTACAGTAGTAGATATTGACTCGAATGACCAAACCAAGGCCCCAGTACCGCATCGAACTTGCCGCAGATGGGCTCGTAGACGGGCAGTTAGGCCATCTACAAGCACTGGGCACTACTCGAGCGACGCGCCGCTTAGCGTGCCCCATGCCTAGTAAACCGACGTTTCGCCGTGTCACTTGGCTGGGCATAGTCACGACTCACGCGTACGCATGCGTGGACTATTCATCAAAGCTATAGAGGAATCAGTCGCGGAACGGTGGCTCATTACCTCGTGACTGCCAGGAAATGTTGCTGGGGAGAAGTGTCTCGCCGTGGATGACTTGCTCATGTCGATCGAGGCCTTTGCGCTTGACTGCGCTCAGGATCTTATTGTCCTACTTGGGCATTCGAGTCGTCTAGCTAGGGGACCTGTTACTATTACTACTGCTTGTGGTTATGGGCTCTCCCACCGCAGGCGTTGATATTCGCGTGCGCATTGGGAAGTTTCAGCGCTGGTCATTTACTGGCCATTCATTTGGCGCTCCGCGCAGTGATTTGGAGAAACGGGTTTCTTGGCCTCCATAACGTCATGTGGGTATTCTCTCCCTTGAGCTTTCTATTTCTCATAATATCATCGTGGTCAGATCGTCGCCTTTACCACACACCTCTCATTTACACCTGATGGCGTTCCGCACAATATGGCCCCCCACGAGTTGCGCGACGCAGGCGTGGGGCTGGAGTCCTCTGGCGTCCAATGTGCTGCAGTCGTTGTCGCCGATGTAGCCGTCGCATTACATCGAGATTGAGTCTCTCTTCACTGGTGCTCGTTCTAGGCCTCACTGGGATCGATACGCATACTATAGCCCACCTTCTCTACGACCAATGTACTACCCTTGGTCGCCTCGCCGTTGGGGACGATGCAGCCCTGCCACAGTGCTACTGTCTCAGTCCAGTAAGTATGGCGTAAGGAAAGGGAAGAGTGAAAGAAGTCGTCCAGACCCACGTCAGCGGCCAGATTGTGGCTAAATCGCTGCTACTCCGCAGGAAAAATATCCTCCAAACTGGGGTCGAACCAGTGACCTTGGGATTGCGCAGGTTTCCTTTACAGTCCCATGCTCTTCCAGCTGAGCTATCGAAGGACACGTGTTGTATATAACATCAGCAAACGGCTAAATCGTGGAAGATAACTTCGTGTCTGCGCATTCATTCCGCCTATCATTGCCTCAGCATGCCGAGGTCCTACCAAAGACGTTGTGATGAACACGGATGTATTATCAGGTGTGTACAGTACAGTAGAACACCGTGGCGTGCAGTACCTTGTGCTCGCCATTTTGTTGTGTTCTGTTTGTGCGTATTATTAGGATCTATTTTGATTTGATATTTCGCTCATAACGCACGACCAACCCCTGCTGGTCACAACTAACTTACTCGTCCTCTCGTCGGCAACTCAGGACGTTTCACACAATATAACCCCCCGCGACGTGCGCCGCGATTAGGCGCTGGAGCCCTCTGACATCCAATCTGTAGTCGTTGTCGCCGATGTAGCCGAAAAGTCTTTGCATTATACGGCGATTACGTCTCTCCTTACTGGCGCTCGTGTTATAACGTTCTACGGCCTCACTGGCGTGTCGATATATGTGCAATAGCCCGTCTTCTCTGCGATCAAGATAACTTACTACCCTTGGTCGCCTTGCTGTTGGGGACGACGCAGCTATTCCGCCGGCCAACGAGAACGAATACTGGGTTTCGAGCCCAGGAGAACCTCGTTGACCGACATAAGAGCCGTACGTACTCAGTGCAGCCCGACTGGGGATTTCAGAATCGACTTTGGCGCCAAGGTCAACATCCCGCGCGCCCTCTTTTGGCGCAGTGTGGCCGTCATCGCTCTGTCGTGGAACTACGATTTCAATGCGATCTCGCGATAGATTCCATGTCACTTTAGCGCATCAATGCGTTCGTTCAAACAGAGCCCGCAGTCTCATTTGAAGGAAAGAGTACCACATACGTTGCCTCGATGGACCTGCACGAGGTGCACTCCTACCATCTTCGTCGTCGTCACCGTCGTCGTCACCGTCGGGCCGTCTCTGCGGGGGCTGTCGTCCGCCAAGTCGCACTGACACTTACCTTGACAGGTCTGAGCAGCGCGATGATGCTTTTGCTTGGCGCCAAATAAACCGCGTTTCATTCCCACTCTTGTGTTTGATATCATATCGGGACCCGGTATTGATTTTAATTCGTTTCCATCCCACCCTCACCAAACCTCAGTGGTCCGTCGCCGGGACGGGCGTGAGCCAAGTGTGACAAATGTACGGGCATGAGTGGTATGGATATGTCCCCCATGGAAGGCTGAGATGGTTGCGGGAAGGAAGATACTAGAATTTAGTAGAATGCGACAGCGCAGGACGTAGAGTCTGTTTGTTCTTAATGAAAAATATAGTAGCTCCCGATTATAAGAAGGGTGATAGATTTTCTCTCATGCAATCGCCGTGATGGTGTATAGCTGGACTAGAAGTGAGATCTGCTTCAGCGAAATACAGTGAAGCCTGCATTGTAAACTGCGTAACCAAGCACCATCGAATCCTCAGGGTACAGGACAAACCGGTTATGGGATAAGTCGTGATCTATGATGGAGCAACCCTATGTGTGTAACAATCAAGTTCAATCAAATGTGCTGTCAAGGGCATGCGTAAAGAGAACACTCACGACGTAGATGGAATACCACAGCATTGGTGTGCGAGGTAAACTTTGATCAATTAATCAAAATGCTTTCTTTCCCAACGAGAAACGGAAATAGGGTGACCGCCAATCTGTCGTGCGGCAACAAATTGCCCAATAATTCCCTGGACAGGCCCCGATGGGAATGATGTCTCCTCCAAGAAAAGAGTCTGCAAGACAGGTAACACTTCTGCCACACTTTCCCCGATGAGTTCCTGCAGGGCGGGAGCGATACGTTGCACAAATCTCCGGGATAGGTTGAGGTACTTCACAGCGGAAAACGGGCGTAAAAGTTCTAGCCATTGGCTCTTCTCAATATCGTCTTGCCAATCGCAGTAGCCAACCTCGAGGATGTAGAGGTGTTCCACCGCGGGGACGAATGCCTGAGGGAAGGACGAGCTGCAGATCTGTGCAAGAGACGAAAGCTGCCAATCCGATCGTCTGCATGAGATTGACAACTCGAGCAATCCGTCGGATGACTGTGGAAGTGTGACCCAAACGTGCCAATCGGAAAAGACCACACGTGCTTCATCGAGTGCCTTGAACTTTGGTGTGCGTCGGATGAACTGAGTGAGTTGTGGAGTATCGAAAATAAGTTGGTGGAAGTAGGTTATCGCTAACTTGTCGAGTAAGGGAGCATCGATCCGGGCCACGAGGTCCTCCAAATACTTGCTGGGCCCTCTGAACCGCAAGTCAGTGAGAACGGGGAGGAGTGTGCGTGTCTGTGGAGGAGGACGTCGGCCTTTCCTGTCACGGCGCCATCGAGGGGATTCGAATTTAATGAAGAGTCTTTTGAGGCTGGTCAACACGGAGAGGCCAGTCACCATCGCCTCGGGTGAGATGTGGCCAGACTGACGAATTCCCAAAAGGTTAAGATCGACAAGGTTCGTGGCAGACAAAAGTAGTTTCGGTAATTCCGGAAACGGAATGCAACCCAGGATGAGTGTTTGCAGACGTGGCGCAGATCCACCCAAGAACGAAGCGGGTTTGACCGGCCCGGTTTCATCTCTCGGCTGAAGTTCCAGGTGTGTCAGCTCCGGGAATGGCTGTTGCATTGCTGCCAGGATTTTTTCGAATTGCCAACTTGGGATATCGAAGAGATACAGTTCACATATGCGATTGTTGTGCTCGAGTGCGGCGATAATGTTATCCACATCCCACATTTCGTGGCCATAGACCCGTATGATGATGGGCAAGGGTGGCCAAACGTCCAGGGTCTCCCTCACTGGCGTTTTGGCTTTGTAGTAAAGTCGCAGATTCAGTCGACGTGGTGATCCAAAAACGACATTTCGCCATTTCTGACACACGTGCACAAGCGTGTGCCACGCCTCTATCGGTTCTCCGTAGACATAGAACTCGAATATTTTTAAGAGGGCAACGTCGGGGAGCATGTCGGTGGTCACCTGGGCTACATTGCACCAATCAACAGTCGGTGACTCGGTGCAGGCTATTATGCAAAAGATGTACGTACATCGGCTTCCTTTGGCAGATTCCTCCCTAGCCCCATCAAGAACCCCATGATGTACTCGTGTTTCGGTAAATGAACCTTCAAAATGGCGATCTATCACAATCGGTGACCCCGGGTGGTCAAGAGACGATAGCGGGGCGATGGTGGGGTCTGTTGGGGAGAGAGGATTGTCGAGACGCTCTTGATTAAAGCTATTTCTTAGTTACTTCAGTGATCCGGTAGGTAAATTCCCCTTGACATACCACAGTGGACTCATCGACGAGGATTCAGAGTCAGGGGCGAAGAGGTTGCTTTGAATTTACCCATTGGTGCAGTTATACGAAACAAAAAGTTGCCCACAAACCCTATTACACAGCCATCCATCACCCCAACCCCTTGAGCTTGTGAAAAAGTTGTTGTGATCCTGGGAAAGTATTCGGCCGCCCACCCGGCCCATGTTTTCCGATGCCATAATACACAGACTAGGGACGTTCAAAGTTGGCGCATCCCACCGCATTTGGATTCCGCATTCCAGTTTTTGCCACCAAATTTTCGAAATACGGGGTCCAGACTTGAATGCAGCGGGATGCGCCAACTTTGTTGTATGGTTCCACAACCGTAAAACATGCTGTTGGCAACCGACCTAGGGAGTCTGAGAGGGAGTAGCACACCCATCGACGACACCATTGAGAAGATAAAATGTGAGAAGGCACAATACATGACATGGAGAAAAAGTGAGATAAGCGTTCAAGATATCCTCACTACCCAGAATGGGCATGGGCATAATCAAATGCAAGAAAGAAAGTCAGGTACAGTAACATAGAACGCCAAGACAGAGAAAGGAACTCCGGCAAGAGCGCGTGTATCACGTGCATCTATCTATTCGTTTTTAACTTCCCATACAGTACTGCTATAACATTATTCACTCAGTCAACTCTGCCACTGGTCTGCCGCCTCTGCGGCCACGCTAGGACATTCAGCTGAAACACTCCGGTCACTCTACACGCCAATAAATTCTTAATTACTACGTTTGCCTTGCCAGTGGCTAATAGTCACTGCCTAGTATGCGCCTAATACAAGCTTATTACATGTGCCAATCGCAGCACTCGACCGCATGATTACTGTAAAGAGCGGTTACTGTAAACGGAATCCAAAAGTTCCTACCGTCAGTATTGTACTGTAGGATGGCGAATCGAGACTTGAGTATGCCGATACGTTAATACCCCGTAGGTAACGTTGATGTAAGCACCCGCTCTCCGTTCCTCGCCAGCAACAAAGCCGACCGCGCCTCTCAGACCACTCTTTTTGTCGTCAAGTTACCCTCACCCGTACTCGTAGCGCGGGTATCTTACACAAGGATGACGAGTTCGCAACTGCGACCGCAGCCGCAAACCTCAGCGTGCCGTTCGTCATGTCGACTGCCAGCACACTCTCCATCAAAGCAGTAGCCAAGGCCAACAGTGCGGGCACCGCTGGGATCAGCTATATTGGCACGCCTCCCACCACGCCCAGACCACACCCCTTCACGCGAGCGAGCAGGCCATGAACGAACAGGGTGAATGCTCTCGATCCTCCCTCGCGCCAAAGTGGCAGCTTCACGGCTCTCGAGTCTCTTCATAGCACTAGACACCTTCCTTCTCGGCTGGCGCCCACACGATCTCGACACTGTCCACCTGCCCTTCATAGCGGGCATCGGCGCACAAGTCGGCACGTCCGACCCGGTCTTCATGCAAGGCGGCCGAGCGCCCAGCTTTCCCGAGAGACTTTGATGCGTTCCGCTTCCGGCTTCCGGCTTCCGGCGGGCGACGAGCAGGCTCGCGCTGCGTTTTTACGTTGGGCACCGCGTGGCTGCGCGAGAACTGGGATCGAGGAGAAGAATGTCATCGGACGTAATTCTCGACGCCTTTCCGTGGCGCGCTCGTCTGGAACTGGATAATATCATCGTGCGTCTACCCCTCCCTCCCTCCATTCTTTTCT